GGTCCACAAGGACCGGACTGGGAAACACTGGGCTAGACAGCACATCCACTCTGATCTGTTTACTAGCAGACCCTCTTGCCCCTGGTGGTGACCACGTCCCTCTTCTTCCTTATCCTCTCACCAAGGATCTCCTGTTGTAACCCCCCCACACATTCTTGGCCACGTGTCCCTTGCCAACAGACCCACTCACTGGGCTCTGTTAGCCCTGTTGGATGACCTCTTCAGTGACGCTATAGGTCATATGACCCATGCTGGTAGCCATGGGAACACTGGATTTGTTGTGAGAAAGCCATTCACTGGTATTGTGTGAGGTCAGATGTTATCACTTAGGGTCGACGCTTCGCACAGCCAAGCCATTGCCAGATAAGTCCAGATAAACTTGCTGTAGGACGTCTTTGCATAAATTTCCATGCTGAATTACTTCTTGGTGGTACATGTGCTTCTGTCAGCTCTGTTTGTTTTTTGGGTCACTGTCATACTGAATATTACCTCAGGCAGAGATGCTCATGGATTTATATTAATAAACCTGAAAGCAACACGGTTTCTTTACCTCTGATTCTCATATGTATTTTCTGCAGGCACTGTATGGCATCACATTGCCCTAGGAAGTCACTCATCTGCCAATTAATTGAATGCAGTGTTGAGTAAAAAGCGTATTAGAGAGACAGGTGTTACTAGGCCTCCCTGAATTTATTGAAGAAAAACTTTTGTGGTGGACGTGCCCTCAGGTGTGGTGTGTAAAGCTTTCTGTGAAAAAGCACCTGGCAAGGAGTTTTGTCTGTGCATTTTATGGTTTGTTTTCAAAGCTGGATCAGATGCATTTGTAAAGCCGCGATGTCTGAATGGTACATTACTCCATGGCTTCCAGCTCTCTTCTTTGACAGGGTCACACTCCCTCTCTCTCCCTCTTTGATCCAAGCAATATTCCTTTTACTTTTGACTTTGATGACAGAGTGGATTTTGATTTTCCCTTCTGTAGACAGAACAAGCGTCGCATTTAGAAATATGCCTCAGTGCATTGTTTTTTTTTTTCGTGATGGCCTCTCAGGTGCTCAGCTCAGCAAGAGCAGCACCTTCTCTGCAGGCCCAACACTCCCAGTGTGAGGTTCCCCTTTCTGGCTGCTGATAGAGTGCACAGGGAAACAAAGCCTGCCTGGTGATTCGCTGTGCCTGGTGCTGTCTGATCACAGAGCGCATGAAAGGCGGACCCGTGTCAGGGTTGGCCCGCCTACGTCCCTCCGTGAGAAGAAAACGGTGGCATTGCAGCCAGCACTATTGGCATTCATGATTATGGATAGTGTGTTTTTGTCCATTCCCCGTCTTCCCTTAAACCCGAGGAATGTTGTCTCAGATAGTATGCATGTTAAATATGCATCGAGTAAAAGACAGAGAGTGTTAGGTACAACTGTTACCGAGCAGCCTGTAAGTTTTGTTCCCTCTGAGATTTGGACTGGACCGGTACTCTGCAACATTAACAGCTGCCTTATTCTTCTTGTGTATCTCAGGAGTGATTCACTTCACTCTGTTTCATATAGTGCCTTTCAGCAATATAGTATTAGTACATAGAAGCAGAAGTAGTTCATGATACAAGTAGATAAGGAATAGGGAAAATGCCAGACATTTATGGAGGAGAGGAACCAGAAACTCTGTAGTTTGGAGATGAAAGAACCCTGGAGGTCCGAGGCTGACTGACTGCCCAGGCCCCTGGGCATGCTAACATTATTCAATGCAAAGAAAATGATGGTGCTTTTATAAAATGTAAGGTGTAAAGTGCGGTCAGTAGGAATGATGTCATGCCAGGCTGATCCCCCTTGTTCATTCTGCATCCTCATGATGATGTAATTGTCGGGCAACAGTGGGCCGCCTGCCGCCTGCAATGTCAGCGCTTAGGACAGGAAAATCCTGAAATTCCTGATTTGGGTAATATGCACAGGATGGTGGCTCCAGCTGAAGTGAGTCAAAAATTCCCTGAATGGCGAGGTTATCGGTGCCTGCCCCACATCAACAGCTATTCATTCAACGTCCAGTTCTTATTTCCCTCCCCCACACACACACCCAAATGAGCTCACACAATGGGCCTATTTTCAGATGTCTTGCATGTTAACCTTATGGCTTTGCTAGTGTGGGAAACTCGGCCTATTGGCCACTTAGTTTCAGGTTTCTAAAGAGGCATGCTTTATGAAGGTTACCTTATTTGCTTTCTGAAGTGACAAAATCATTTTTTGGCTGCTGGGCTGGTATTTAGGCTTGACGTTGTAATGTAACACCTTCTGGGTTCACAGCAGCTGTAGGAGGATTATGATATTTGGCCTGAGAGGAAGTTTGAAGCTCTCAGACTTATTCCGTACTTGCCTGACAGCCTGCTCCGGGTGCGGCTTGTCCTCATTGGCTCGCACTGGGGTGCGTCGGTGCCTTTGAGGCGTACAGCAGGAGCGGCACTGGGAAGTTTGAGGTTAGGTTTATTGCCAGGGTTTGGGTAAGTTTATGGCCAAGGAAAGAAGGAGGGTTTCAGAGAGGAGGAGGGGAGGGGGCAGGCAGCAGGAGCATGGAGGAGCTCCCAGCTGAGAAGGCTTGGTTTCTCTCCCTTTGTTCTCACAGGTTTTCCAACTTTCCCATGCTATTCACCTGTTGCAGCCTATATATTTTTTTCTCCCTACCCCAGAGCTTTTGTCTCAAAAAGCCTGAAACCTTCCCCCCCCCACCCCTTTTACTCAAATTAAATCACTTCCACAAACATGGCAAAGTTACAGGAGAGAGTAGTTTCGTCTGCCGGACTCTGAAAACCCCTGTCATGCCTGTGGCCTTCCTGTGCTATTGTGAGCCTGCCCATTGAGCCCAATGTTTGCTCTTCTGCTGCCTTGAGGTGGGGTGGGGGGTGGAGGGAGGGGTTCACACATAACCTGGGCTCTTCAGGGCGGCTTTCTCTGTGGGCCTTTGAAAGGCGAGATGACTACTTCCCCAGGAAGCCACAGAAAAGGACGTTTCTCTGAAAGCCAGTTGAGATTCAGGCTTAGTCACCCTGAAATTCAGCCTGAATCCTCTGAGAGAAAAAAGCAATCTTCCGTTGCGTTTTGGAGCTGTGGGGTGACAGCTAGCGCGTGTTGACCCCACATGGCGGTGGGGAAAGACCTGGGAATGAGGTCTGCCTACAAAGATCTCCGGAATTCCTACCAGTCCTCCTCAGCAGCCCTCTTACCTGGTAGGGTTATCTGATACTGACATGTGGACTGGCCTACATTGTGTTGGTAGGCTAATGTGCACTCAGAGTTTTCTCTCTTTTTTGGGAATAAAATTTTCATTATCACTGAAGTAAAACCCTGTGAAGAGCACAAAAAAAAGGAAAATACTACCTTTTATATTTGTGGTGAAACATGAATGTTAAATTATAAATGTGGTATAGCAGAGTTTTCTCATTTGGCTGTTTCTTGTAGTGAAAAAAACAAAGAATTCCTTTTTTTGTTAGCCAATCTATATTTAAATAAAATGGTTGTAATTATCCAATTAAAAACTGCAGTGTTTCTCAATACATGAATCACAGCTAGAATGTGAGGCAGCTGTAATCTAGGGACTGTAATGACACAGAAGGGCTGTTTTCAAACGTCTTTGGAACGAAAAGAGCAAAACTACCCTGCATCTGGCTTTTGGTTTACGGCTAGTATGGCAAAGAAAATTTTCCCTTTCTGTCCTGCTTTAACCTGTTAGACGATGTTCATCATTTGAATCACTTTTTTTTTGGGGGGGGGGGGGTCCGGAGACTTTTAAAGAGGAGGGGACATATTCTATTCAAGCCATTGACATGATGGTGAATAATAAGACCAGGTACAAAGAGAACATCGGTAATGTAATCCCCTGAGATATTGCCACGGAAACGTGCTCCAGTCAGCTGTTCCGCTGTCATAAACCTCTTCCTGTGTAAATCAAAGAAGAATTACTGTCACCTTGAGTGTGTTTTTTTGTAGTTCACGTTTATTTAGCTATCATCAGCCCAGGAGCACACCCACCAGCTAGTTTAAAGAAGGGATTTATGTATTTTTCCATTCATGGGCCCAATGTGTTACTGTGAAGTAGTTTTACCAATTTTTTTTTTAATCTTCACAATGCTTGGGTTATGAGGAAAAATGTGGGGGTGTGTTGGCTTCATGGGGGGAGGGGGGAGGGTTGAAAAAGATTTCAAGAATGCCTGGAAGGTGATGCCAAACATTTGGGAATAGATGAAAGAGCCATGGATGGCCAGGGGAGTCTGGCTACCCCAGGGCTGCCATGACAACATTATTGTGCCGGGTAGTAACTCGGCACCCTGTGAGCCATGGGGTCTGCACAGTTCCTCCTCGTTTCGGGCGAAATCACCTCCAGGCGGTCTGGCTGTGCCCCGTGTCATTGCCTGCGGCAGTCTCGGCTCACTCAGAACCAGGGACTTTCCTCTGCCGTACCTGTTCCTCTTTGTTTCGGGTCCTGGGTCACTGGCATGTCTCACCACTGAACACCAGTGTCAGATCCTCAGTTTATGGAAATGGTTACCATGAAGCGGCGGTGATCCAGTAACCAGGTAACAGTGGGCTTATGGATTCTGAGAAGCAGATGTATATATTTTAATTTCAGCTTGTTATTAAGTGTATAGTTATGCTTAATTAGACCACTGCGGATGCAGCTTAACCCAGAATAACTATCAAGATATATAAATGGCACAATGGAGGAGGTCACACCTGTTTTTTGGGACCGAGTGTTGAGAAGGGTGTAAGAACCGACTCCAGCCTGTTCATGTGTGTGATCTGCTCTCAGTCCCTTTAATGCACTGCAGGGCCACGATAACCGGAAAGGCTTAGGTCTACGCACACGGCTCCTCCCAGTTTTGGTGTATCAGCATACGGTTGGTGACATTGATGATGACCTCATCCAGGAAGCATTTTCCTAGACCTAACCAGGTGCTGTTTACATAGCTGGATGCACCTGTGACAGGAGGCCGGCAGCTCCCTTCTCTGTGGACCGCCCCCGCTCAGGTTACGGGGTTACGTAAACTGCCGTCCGCCGCCACACTCCTCTAGCATGGGCAAGGACGCAGGCGGCCAGGGGATGGGACAGGGTAACAGCTGAGAAATGCAGGCGAGGGAGGAGGAAAACAGGAGAGAGAGAGAGAGAGAGAGAGAGAAAGCGAGACACTCCTACCTGGAAAGGAGGAGGGGCAAGGCTTGGGAGCAGAGTGAACCTGGGTGGGTTGATCAGCAGAGTGCGTGAGAGAGGGAAGCACACACAGATTCCTGGCCTCTCGGCAATATGGCCACAGGTCGCTCTCAGCTGCTTTAAAGAATCCCAGGACGGCTGCATTCCAGAGTCGTGGCGGGCCGATCCCCCCCTCCCCTGCCCCGGCCCGCTCACGGCTACCGCCCCCCACCTCCGTGGCTGGCTGAGGTTACCCTCCCCCCGCGGGTATCCCTCTCGTCCCATCGAGGAAGCCCTCAAAGGCAGCTCTCCAGACCCAGCTTGGGCAGTGGGGGGCAGAGGAGCCCAGCATACAAACGAGGGGACATTTCCGTGGCAGGTAAGCCTCGCCACTCCTTGTGGCTGGTTTGTCGGTCGTTTTTTGCGACGCTGTGGCTTTAAATCAACCTGTTAGCACGCAGCTTGTGGCTTGGAGCTTGGAGCTATCGAGGGCGAAGCGCATTCCAAACAGAGCACTCAATGGAGAGCTCACAGAGACTCGCCATTCAGCGTTATGTTCCCGCGGCAGCGCCGGTTCCAGTGATAGCGACTTTGTGTGCTGTGTTTCACTGCTATCAGCTATACGACACGCCATGTTCAAATGACTAAAGTCCTTAAACTAAAGAGGCAGGTGTGTCGTTTTAAATTCTGAGGAAATCTAGGCGAGGTGATGATGTGAGAACTTTCTTAAGCGAGTCTAGCTTGTTTTTAAATGGTCACACTTCCAACTGCTAGCCTGGGAAAGATGAGGCTGTGTTCAGTCGACTTCATTTATCCGAAAGCATCGTCTAGCATGGAGAGTACAGCCTGCAGCACTAAGTTTGTGTGCTGCTTGCTCACTCAGAGATCAGATATTTGGTTAGTCATTTGATTTCTGTTGTTGCATGGGCTAACGCAGCAAGTTTGTCATCATGCCTCAACCTGGACAATTGTTTTCCTGCCTTTTAGGCCTGTTTATTTTACGTTAGTGTTCTGGAGAAGGTGAAAAGCAAATAAATTTTCCGATTCACGGTTAAAGGTGAATGCCACAACCCTGCTTTTGAGTGGCCTGGTTTGATTCGTTCTTGGTGTAGACTGCTGATGTCAGGCTCGCTGACCCCCCAGAGTGGGACTGCATTGTGGGCTGGTGGGTAGGGGTGAGCTCACAAGGCTCATCCTGTCCTCATAAGGAAGTCAAGTCTCCCTTGCTCTCCTCTTCTGCTTCGTAGTCCACTGTTGACTTTGGGATGATTAGCCTCTGTGACGAAGTCTGTAGTTTGCAAAGCATATGTGTTTCCCCATAGGTGATCTGAAAAAGGATATTTTCTCATGTATTTTCAGTTAAGGGGAAGTTATTGGGTGTGAAAACATGCCTTCAGGTTGATGGGTTTTCCCTCTGTGTCAGGCTTTGCCACATCATACAATGATGCTCTATTTTGTTTGATTGTGGTCCAGATAAAGAAGTTCTCGCTTTCTGCGCTTCCTGACACATCCGTTGCTCTTGGGCTACAGTCTTTCTGCTTCAGCCCCGCAAATCTTACTTTTGACACAATGAGTGACTTTTGGTTATAGCGGAATGCTTGATTTTTCACTCCAAATAGAATGTTCGATATTTCACCCACTCAGGAAAAGTTAGATTATTTGTACTTACTGTTTCATGTCATGCTGGTCACACATTGTGCTGTGAACAGAGCATCTCTTAAAGGGTTAAATTAAAAAGTCAGACTGAGAACCAGGCCCACATTATGAAGGGAGTCCCTTCTAATTTTTTTTCCAAAACTAGATGCAGCTGAGGTTCTCCTACCGGTACACATGTGTATTCCAATTTTTTTCAATATTGTCATCTGTTTAGAAAATATGACTCTGGTGCAGGTTTTTATTGCCATGGTCAACCAGTTCTGTTGTCATTCTTACGTTTTTCCAACTGGTCAAACCTCCACCCATAAAGGACATTATCTAAAGGTAGGCTTACCTGTTTTACACTCTTGTTAGAACTGGCAGTGTCAGCAGGTGTGGGACAGATAAAATGCTCTGGAGAATTCACACACATTGTTACACGATCAGCTCACCCCTGAAGATTAGCAGTTCCCTCCACGTTAGCCACTCTGAAAGCCCGTGTTGACTTACGGGTGAAGCTTCTCGGTGCTGCTACACCGTGATGAGTCATTTTTTCAACAGGCTGTCAAACACTCTGAAGATGTTGGTACCTGACAATGTGTTTTGAGAAACATCTCTGTCTATGTTTCCTCTCAGCTTTGGAAATCCAGTTGAACTGGTGACATGAGTAGAATGAGGGGTGGGTGACCAGGGAATCTTGTACCCCTGTACCTGTTTTTTCTTCTGCTAGACCCGGGTTATGCAACTCCCGGTCCTCAAGGTCCAAGCCCTGCTGATTTTCTAGCCTTCCGTTACCTGTGAGCCAGATGTGAAGCCTCCGTGACCAATCAGAATCCGTAATTATTAAACTAACTAACCTGCGAGAACTAAAAACATGGCCTGGATTTGGAATCAAGGTTGAATAGCCCTGTGCTCGACCAATGAAAGGGAGTTTTGTTCCACTCCTTTGCTGTCTTCTGGCTTTTCCTGCTTGCAGAGTGCACTGTTCATGTTTATATGTGTACCTGTGTTAGTAAGGGTGCTTTATATAAGAAAAATTAGTCGAAATTATTTGAAATTATGTACAACTGTGATCCCGGGATCTTCCATTACATTTTAATTTTAGCTTAAATCTGAAAATTCACATCTGGAGATAAATCACAGACGCCACAAGCGTGTGAAACGAGACTTGGCTGGGAGTTATTTTTCTTGGTCGCACTTAAACAATGGTGCAAAGTATGTTATGCTCCAGGAGTCGCGTCTCCTGCGGCGCCTGCTAACCCCACCCTTCCACACCCCAAGGGGGAGATGAAACAGCCGAGACCCAGCCCCCGTTGCTCCAGGGCCTGTACATACACACCCAGTCTCTGCAACAGACTCATAAATTTTGAGAGGGGTGCCTTCGCCACTTTGATTGGAGGAGGGGTGGGTGGAATCCCTGACAAGCCGCCTGTAATGACAGAGGGTGAGGATCGTCACCTCCCCCGTTGCCAAAAACACCATGAGATGTGGCCTCCACTACCTGGACTATGCCTACTCTTCTCATTCAACAACCTTCCACTATGTGAAGAGCATTTTTGTGTCCTGCAGGAGTCTTCCTTGGCTAACCAGCAGTTTTGCAATGGAAATTCCTCCAGATGTTTGTGTCTTGAATCACCTGCTTTTTTTTCATCCGCCTTAGGTTTACCGCACTGAAACATCCCCAGTGCTGCCTGCCACGCACTAACACGCTGCTCCTCTGTCCTTCTGGTGCCTGTTTACGAAAGGCGGGCCTGTCCCCAGACTCCTTCTGGGGTTGGGAGCAGTGTGGCTCACGATTACGGAACTGCACTCGGGCTTGGGCTGCTCGTTCGAATATCAAATGTGGAACTTGAGAAAGATGCTTTACCTGAACTGGTCTGCTAGATTTTGACCTGCGAGAATGTATAAAAAAATGGTGATATTAGACGCCGACCAAGTCCCTAAAATCAGTGGAAGCTGAGAGACCCTTACAGGCTGCAGATGTAGCTAAGCAACTACTGACGGGTGCGAGTGATGAGTAGAACGTGGGAGTCAGTGTCATACGGCCATCGCCCGCTGAGAGGGGGGGACTCACACCGGAGAATCCTGCACGCACACACACGCATTTGTATTCATATCTTTGTGGGGACTCTCCATTCATTTCCATGGGAAAAACCCTAATCTCAACAATGACAACCTTAACCTCTAACTAGTCCTAACCTTAACCATAAGTAAACAAACAAAATACAAGACTTTTGGCATTTTTACTTGTTTGATTGAAGTTACAGGTTTTTATAAAATTATTTCCCTTATGGGGACAGAAAAAATGGTCCCAATAATGTCAAACAATGTTTCTCAAAACTCAACGTGTCACACACACACACGCACACACATGCACACACACAGGAATGTAGATTAGAAGCTGTCCCACCTGCTGATTTCTCATGTTCAGTAATTCAGATCTGCTGGCCCACCCCCGCATCTGGTGCACTTATCAACATTCTAAAGCAGCTTGAACTTCATTGGAACGACTAAAGTTGTAAATTTCCGCTTTAAGGAGGATGAAGGCGTGACAGGGGTGTAATTTTTCACTGACAGGACCTGCAGGCTTCTGTTGCCGTGGTGTTGGAGTGCCCCTAAGCCCCACCCCTGAGTAATTGCATGGAAACTCAGTGTTTGCAGCACCCCCCTCATGCCCTGGAGAAGCTGCATGTAGCTTCACATTGTCCCGAAAGACATCTGTCCGTCCACTTGTCTCAATGAATCACCCAAGTCCCTTACCGGAGAGAACAGCAGCCAGAACCCTGCTGGGTTATCAGTCCTGTCTCTCTTTCATCATGCGTGCAGTGACCCAAAGCACTGTCCACACTTGGAAGTGGGGTTGTCATGGAAGCCCTTGTGAGGATGTCCAGCTGAGCAGCTTAGTGTAGGTGTAGTTAACAGAATCCCAATAAAAAGCTGGTGGTATGTGGCTGAGTGACATCAGGCAACTTAGGGAAGCGGCAGTCAGTGTTGAAAGTAGTATAGAGGGTTTATCTATCTATCTATCCATCTATCCATCTATCTAATCTTTCGTTCGTGGCAGTCAGCCCAGATACCTTCCTTGCCACACCACTCACATACCCATTACTACTTCATGACGGCAGGCGGTTAAAAGGAACCGCTAAATTAATAATGAGGCCAGGCTCATGTACAGCATTCGCCCCAATCATGATCGAGGGCCTCCAGCTTAGCAGGACTACGTCTCGGGAGAACGTCTGGGGCCGGGCCTCTGATTTGGGTCTGATTTTTGGAACATGAGCCTCATTTGGGTCTCAGAGCAGCTGGCAGGTCTCGGAGGTTATCATCGGCCGCCAGACCCGTTACGTTACTCCAGCACAGCAGCAACCTCGTGGGGGTTCGGGAGAGTACTTGACTGTAAATGATGGTTGCCCATGTCAGCCACCCCATCATCTGGCTTTGACAAGCTAATTTCCTTTAGACGAGCGGCGCCATTGTGCAAGGCTAGGGGAGTGCCGGTGCTCACTCCAGGCGTGTGCTCACTGGATAGGGTGATGGGTGCTGAGTCACACCGGCAGGGTACGATTACAGGCCGGAGCTAATGAGCGGTAGCAACAGGCCCCGAGGGCGTGCTGCAGTCTGTATGTAGGGGGCCCTTTTAACTCTCCACCATGCTGCTCACATGGTTAAGTATGTTACAGGAAAACCATATTACTCAATTCGCTCTATCTTGTCATCATGCTAGTGTGCCGGCCTTGACAAAGT